GAAAGTGTTAATCTGACGAATAGTTGTTTCGCTCGATTTCTTGATTTCCCCCGTACACATTTACTAACTACGTACTGGCTCATTTCCAGACAGTTTCGCAGACTAATCGAAGGCACTTCTGAAGTTCGAACCGAACAACATACCCACCAAGTTACGCTATTAGAAAGGGAAAAACATCACCTACCGGCAAACGATCATCAATAACAATATCATACCTAAAATCATATAAAAATATAACTACTCGATTACTGGGAATAGATAAATGTAATGTAACTTGTTGTCCAATAACAAGAGATAAAGGGTGAGATGCAATAAAAACGAGAATCGGCCCCATTTCAAATTTTCTCGAAAAGTGTCCAGAATGAAAGAGCATGTGATTTTATGGTGTTTTAGACCCCTGATTTCCCTTTAAAGTTAATATCTGTAAGAAAATCGATTACTTTTGAACAATATCTCCGCAAACCCATTGCTATGCGTTTTTGGTACTTTTCTTAGAATGAAATAAGTTTGAAGAAAAGTTTTATATACCACTCGATGCAGCTTTACACGAGAGTAAAACTGTCTCTTGCTCAATTATCATGTATACTGTGAATATCGACGTTTTCAATATTCCTGTTAAAACATGACCTTTTCAACATAGTCAGCTATAATATTTCTATTTTTTCACCATGAAAGAGCTTAGATTACGGTCTACATTATGCATCAGAAGAAAGCTCTTTCAAAAATCTACAAAATGGTTAGTAATTCATTTCTAGTTGAAAGTGCAGACACTCACTTTTACTGATATTACTACTGAAGAGTGATGTTTTCGGCATCGTCGATAGGCTCAATCCATATAAAACCTACCACCATTTACATCGACCTTCAACGCCAGTGGCGAGACCCACCTCATATTGTATAGCTCAGTGAGCTGAACCGAATGGTGAAAACCACAAGTCTCTAACCTTGTTAGAAAAAGAGTTCTAGCCATTTTATCCTCGCAGCGGAAAAATGCATTTTCGTCATTTTCCAGCGGATTTGTCCAGAACGTCTGCTGACCACATTCCTTAACGTAGAACCTTCAACTTGGTATCAAATGAAAGAACAAGTAGAGTTCAATATATTTCAATAAACAAAAGTTATGCTACACCTCGGGATCTTGAGACAGAGGTTTCTGACAAATCCGGTTTTCTAGAAAACCTAGTGACCTTAAAATTTCTTTCAGAAGTTTTTCAACCGCATCATTGGATAGCCTATTCAATTATCCACAGAATGAGATGCTGACCAAGTTTCTACGATGTTCTGTCAAAAACTGCCATGGAAAATATGATGCAGATTGAAAATTTCAGCATGAATTTATTTACAAAGAGAATATTTAATTTATATATTATATATATAATATATTAATTTTACAAAGGGAAAATTTTTCATGAATTTATATTCGTAATGTTAAAAGCCTGTAACTCGATAGTTCAAGATCGTAAAAACTTCGTCAGTATCTCATTTTATGGAGAATTGAACGAGCTATTCAATAATGCGGTTGAAAAACTTCTGAAATAAATTTTAAGGTTACTAGATTTTCTAGAAAATCGGGTTTGTCAGAAATCTCTGTTACTTCTCTTACAGATATCAACTTCGAAGGAAAACTAGGGGTCCAGAACACCATAAAAGCACATATTCTTTCATTTTGGACACCTTTCGAGAAAATTTGAAATGGGATCGATTCGTGTTCTTATTGCACCTCGTCCTTTGTTAATATCGAAAATGGTTAAAAAATTACAATCTTCTTATTGACGCCAACAGACTGAATAGAAGCATATGTTTTCAAATGCTCGTATTGAATTAACCCAACAACTTACCATGATCCATAGCGCCAAAATCGAAAATGGAAAACACCAGCATACCATTCTTTATTAAAACTTTGATCTAATGGTATCACCCTTTCCAATACTTTATGATTTCTTGTTACAGCTGTCATTGCCGATATAAACCAACAGTTTCCCAAATCACCCTGATTCGGATCCATTCGGTTAATACCATCCACAATCAGTTGTGGATTGGCAATGATATCGCTTGGTCTCTTCCATACGATATCTTGCCAGTTAGCAATATTACGATAATTAGGTGATAAAGATTTAAGCTCAGCTGGAAATTGGGGGTCCTCAAACAGAAAATTATTGACCCTACACTCTGAACGTATAGATTCAAAATCTTGACCAAGAAACGGTAAAATTTTCGGTTGCCATCGTTTCATTGTAATGGTTGTTTGTGTCAGGAAACAAATAAATATCACACATGAGAATAATAAAAGAATCAACAAGATTTATTGTAAAAAAAACTAAAAAGAGGGTAACTATTGTGCACACCACCAAAACAGAACAAAAAATTTAAAATGAATCAATTAAGTATCTTAAATTCATGACTAGACGCGCATCGTTACTATGAAACAATTAAATTCAAAGACTTTGTTTAACTATGCTTGTTTTGAAAATATAATACAGCATTTTATTTCAGATGGATTAAGAATTTTGGACTCGAGTTCTATGTTTCCGATTAAAAGCCAAAGTAAAGTTTATTAATTTAATACCAAAATTGGATTTGTAGGTCAAAAAATGTTGATCATGCCCATATTCTGGCAAAATTATTATTATTTGTGAGATATTTTCTATTATCATTGCTAGTTTTGTGTTATTTTAAAGTTTGTTCATCAACTGTCCATAGTTTAAATCTAAAATCCATATAAATGTACAACAAAATAAATTCAACAGCTGCTGCATAATAATAATAATAATAATGTAAATTATGAATTAGTTTTTTCTCTTTTTTTTTCTTCAAGCTTGAGTGACGACGATACTAGATTGATTTAAAATGTACAAAACTTTATCGAAAAGACATTCGAACAAGCTGTGACGACAAAAGCAGAAATCATCTATTCCATTATTGTAAAAATCAAAAGAAAAAATCAAAACGTTCTTTTTTCCTATACAAATATTTCTAGACACCTGAGTGATGAGAAAATGAAAATAGTTTTTAGTGTTTATGATTTAAGTAAATCAAGAAAAATTCTGATGATCAGAAATGTCAGAAAGTTAAACTAGATGATGTTGTTAATGAACATGTACTTATTGCACTACAGTAATTTATCAATGTACGTTTAAGATTAAAAACAAGCATTTATTGTTATAAGTTGTTCATCAAATCTGATGAATATCGTGATTGTGCTGAGAAAAATCAACAACATATTTATTTTATTTAAATTAATACCAAACTTATTTTTCATTAAAGATTTATTGTTATTCCGTTGTCTTACGTTTATCAATATCATATTTCAAAGAACTGAAGCGCGAAGGTACAAATCAGTTGAAGACATCTGCTTAATGAAGTCATTTTGGTGTTTTACTTGCTGGAAAAAAAGAAGAGAAAATCATTCAGGTATGAGAGAAATTTTAAGAGGATAGTTTATACTTACTCACTGTGTATGTATATATATATATATATATATATATATATGTATGATTTCATTGAATCCACCTCTCACATCTATCGCGATTAAAAATGATAGATTCTTCTAGTCGTTAAAAATTATTAATGGGAATTCAATAATATTGTCAATGTAGTTCCATCGATACAACTCCGTACAATGGAATAGAAAAGAAAAGCGAGAAGAGAGAGAGAGAGAGAAAGAAAGAACATTACATATTTATAGCGCGATATATGGGTATATAAGAAAAATAGTCATACCACCTTTTTTCATATTTTCTAACAACGAAAAGACATCAACAAACGATTAAGATATTTCCTACCTATACGATTCAAATGAGAAAATGATATGAACTTCTGTTGTGTTCATTTCTCTTTTTGTTCTTTTCTTTCTTGTTTTATGTATTCCGTCTCTTCAATCTCGACATATTTATATGTTCCGAATGTAAAAAGAGAAAAAAATCTAAAATCATAATTCCCTAATTTATAATAAAATAAAATCATCCACACCGTTCATTCTCATTCTGTTTTTTTTCAAGAGTACATACCAACAACACAATATACAAAAGGTAATTTTAATTTTTCTTATCAAATATTTCTCGTACAACTATTAAAATTTTCTTCATGAAATAATTTGAAAATATACGTTAGTCTAAAAGCAATGTGCAGAACTTTTAAAATTGACTCAAATCAAAGCAAATTAGAAATGTTTTTCTAATGCACGATCGTACTCATGGAGCGCCATTGAATGATAATCTTAAATCGAAGCTTAAAAAATTAAAAATTGATAGTAATCAATATTATAATCCCCCAGAATGTCGGAAAGGTTTTAAGATAACTTTACGATCGTTTTCTATTAGAATCATATTCATTTTTCGTTTTATTAACGTGTGTGGAATAGATATAACTCAACATTTAAACATGAAAGTTAAAGAGAAATGTGTATCATATTCAAATGCAAAAGAAACCTTTTTTCTGTAAACTAAAGGTAAAAGTTTTTTTTGTGCACAATAAACGATGAATTGCTTTCTTCTAGTCTTACTGTTCGATAATGAATCTTTTTTTTTCAATCAGCGACATGGTGGTTTAGCTGCGGAAGAAACAACACGTCTTCGTAGCTCCACTTTACTCTTAAAGTCTACTTTTTATTACATTATTGTACATAATACAAGACAGTCATTCTCTTTTTCAACTACCTAGTTTTTTTTTATTCTACGATAATCGATTTTCATCCACAGAACTATAGATCTTAGTCTTTTAACTCGGATACACTCGCCTTCACAGGGCTCCCTATAGTCCGATAGACACTTTTTTTCTCTTGTCTTTATTTGGTCAGGTACACCTCGTTCTCTATCAATAACGACAAATATGATATAAGAAGATGTTAGATATTAACCTCTTAAAATTTAGTTTTCTAGTGCTAGTTAATAATGTTTAGTCCTCTCTTGACACTCATCCATAATGAAGTGTGCCGTCAGTTACATAAGAAAGGATATTTCATAAACGAAATTCACAATCATATAAATCAGACTAATAATGTTCTTCGCACTATAAAATAGAGAAAAAAAACCTCCTTCTTTTTGCGAGTCTCAATAATTTCCTTTTTTTTTTGTTGAAATAATTATTTTCTCAATATGACATTCGATTAATCGATTTTAATATTTTCTCTTTATCGTCTTTATCAAAATAAGAAGGAGGAGGTATTTGAAAGGTAAAATATGCGAAACAAAGGATTATAGAACATTTGCAGCTAACATACATAAGCTTTTCAACACAATGTGATTAATGTATGACACATCAACAGAACATGAAATACATAACTCTTTCTTAAACATAATAGGTTTTAGATGACAACATTTGTTTGGAACATAGAAATAATGAAAAAAATATACAACTTCTTTCAGAGTAATCAAATCCATACATGACCAAGTCTGTGAGAAATTTATAGTAAAAAAACTTATTAAACGCTACAAAGTCTATAATAATCAAATTCTTCTATAAGACTATAGTAGTGTCTGTTCTTTAACGTTTTTCCAAAGAAATTCTGGTCCATTTTTTTTTATTGAACAACATTTATCATCTTTAATGAAACCTGATAATTTTTCTTATGTTTGCAGCTGCATACCAACATATTCAATGACAAAAATAATGGTTTTACGAATAAGTTGTATCTCAGATGAATTGCACGTTGACACATGAATAATGACCTTCATATCCATTTCTTTTTTTTTTTAACAAAACTGATATTATTTGTCATGAGAAAGAAAAGAAGAAGAAAAACATATTGATAACTTAATTGAGTCATTACATATCGCCTACGGACGATAATGTCGAAGAAAAATAGGAATGTGATTCATACGAAGCTCAACACTATTTTACCAGTAATCATTTTCACTCTCATGCGTTCAGTCACTTCGTTCAAACCTGGAGTATTTTGGGGTGTGAAGGAAATAAGGGGTTATCGGAATAGCTCTATCTTTTATAGTTTACTAAAGATTTTTGATTTTTTAGCATACGTATAACGCCTTACCCCTCAGAACATGTACAAAAATTGAGAGAAAGCGAATGAAACAAATACGTGCGTATATAGAAATCCTTCTTGGATAACTCGTATGTAACTTTTAGATTGTGGAACTTATGTAACGACAACATAAACTAGATTCGTCGCTTTGATTGTCCAAACGCATTTCTTTTCGAAATTGTTAAAAGATTTTCGCTTCGACATCATTGTACGAATATACCAATTTATAATGATCGTTACTGACGCTCACAATAACATCATATCGTGGAATCAGAGAACGTAACATCATTAGAAAATAAAGGTAAGTGACGAAAAACGTCTATCAGGGTAA